TAGAGAGGAATACCACCAGGATGCTTCTTTTTAAAGTAAAAAATATCATTCATACTTTGGTAAAATGATACAGTCTGGCTCTGCCCCTTCTTCTTTCCTCTGTCATTGCTGTTCTCTGTGCATTTTGTCATATGAGTTTAGAGCCCCTTAAAAATCAGAAAAACACAAGAATATTGATGTAAATTGGCAAGATAAATCGTACAGGGGTGATGAAAATGCTCCAAAATTAATTGGAATGATGACTTCACAATTTGGTAAATTTACTAAAAATTAACAAATAGTACACTTGAAATGGGCAAATTTTATGTAAAATATGCATGGATTTTTTTTTTGGAAGTTTGTCTTTCTATATTACATAATGTGCCACAAAAAAATCCTAGGAAATACTGAATATATTTTGTAAAGTTTTCTATTTTTTGACTGTGGAGTTTTTAAACATTGCAATGCAGATTTCACCCAGGTAAAGCTACAAGGCCTTTACTATTTTCTTATGTGTTGTACGTTTGTGTACACTCTTGTGTTTTGTGTTGTATGTCTGTATGTGCGTATGTCCATATTTCTTATATGAGGAGCGCTCATGAAAAAATGGATCCGAATTATTATTTTTTTTTATTCACGTGATTTAAATGGTTTAATTTAAATTAGGTAAACAGCTGTTAAGGATTGTTTTTAAAGGTGGTTAACAGATCTGTTTGTTTACTAATTTAAATTAGGTAAAAAGCTGTTAAGGATTGTTTCTAAAGTAGGTTAACAGATCTGTTTGTTTACTTTCACCTTTCCTTTTCATTATATTTAATAATTCTTTTCAGGATAATGTCTCTTTAGCATCATTGCCAGAATTCCTATCTCCATCCCAGTGCCGGTGAAGAACTCAACAAGTAATGCTCAATCAAAGAGTCAACTTACTTTGGGAGGAAACGATTTTGGGGAGGAAATGGACATATTGATAGATTCCTCTGCTTTGAACTGCTTGCAGAACTTGCCTGGACTATGTAACTATCGTTTGGTGCAGCGAATTGTGGTAATGCTGGCATATCTTTGCTGATGGTGTCACTAGTGATGCAATTTTTCCCAAGGAGCCGTCAATTGGCTTGGTGTCATGGCATTTCTGTATCCTCCTCCCTTCTGCTAGTGATGGTCTAAAATTTGGGGGCCAATGGCTTATGCTGGACCGGTAGTCAGTGACGGGTATGATCCAATTGCAGTGGTATCAACCTAAGACAGGAGGCTGACGCCTAAAGGTCAGTTTTCCGATGACGGGTAAGAACCATATGTTGAATTGGACAACCTACCAGGCACGGTCCATAAGCCACATTAACCTCACTCCCCCACTGGCACCAAGGCCAAATTTGGGGGCCAACAGAGGTGAGGCAAAGAACCTCACCCCCCACTGGTGCATAGACCTATCCACAAGTATGGCTGTATGCTGGACCGGTAGTCAGTGACGGGTATGATTCAATTGCAGTGGTATCAACCTAAGACAGGAGGCTGACGCCTAAAGGTCAGTTTTCCGATGACGGGTAAGAACCATATGTTGAATTGGACAACCTACCAGGCACGGTCCTTAAGCCACATTGCTTGTTGTTTAATTAATCAGAAGGGGGGAGATGCTGGGAGCCATTAGCCAAGTAGGTATGACAATTTCCTTGTCAGCGTACCCCATGTTGCAGTGACATTGAATGTACGTGACCTTGCTCAAGGACCAAGGCAGATTAGGGTGTTCCTGGTTTTAAGATAATCGCTCCTTCCTTGCAGTTGCTGGGACCAGCACCCTTGGACCTTCTTTAAGTTCTCTTTCAAACCTGACCCATCCAGATCCCACTGGTCCCATCTTCAAGATGTATTCAACATCCAAGTGTGTCCCCTAGTCAACAGCTGGTACCCCCATCCCACACATTTACTCCCTCATATCTCCCAGGGCCTTATTCAAATGTCCTCTCCTAATGAGACTTTCTCTGTCCATCCCACTTAAACTCACCCACTTTCTAAGTCACCATGCACTTTGCTTGAGTTTTCCTGGCTTGTTGCCTCCCATGGAACACTGGGAAGGCAACGGCAGGGATGTCTGTGGTCTTCACTATTCTCTCGAGCTCCCCATAATATACCCTGCACATAGTAATAGCTCAGTGAACACTGATTTCACGAATGAACCCCTTATCATGTCAATGCAAAGAAAAACATAGGTTCCTCTTAGCCTTATATGTTATGCCTAGCTGCTCTGTCACCTTGGGGGAGGTCTCTGAGCTTCTGAGACCTTCCAGTCACAGATCCATGACAACTCAAAGGCCACTGAGCCCTCTCTAGGGCTGGGCTGGCAAGTGCCCCTGATGGTCAACTGTTTGCAAAACTCAGCAATCTGCCGATGGCCCTGCTTCTGTCTCTTCACCTGAGTCACAAGGAAGCCAGGATCTATCAGAGGTCCACTCATGGAAAACCCTAAAACTTCCTTCATCTCTTAAACCAGAATCTTTTCCTCTTCCAGTTTGGAAAAAACCCAGAGGTGTTCAAAGCGAACATCTTGACCCAATTTCCTCCGGGCACGCTCTCCCCGGGATTCCTCCCTCCAGCACACCAGCTCCCCTGCCAGATCACGGAGGAGCCAGACTTCTCAGGAACCTGGTCCAATGCAGAACTCCAACAGCGAGCCCGGAACCCAACCCCAGGCTGCACCATCCTGCACATCTGGCTCCGTGCCTGTCACCCAGAGTCAGCCACAACAGTTCCTCACAGCAGATCCTCCGGGAGCAAATGAGGAACGCACCAATTGAGCAGGAAACCGGCTTTCCTTGAAGCGTCTCCAAAGTCTGTCAAGAAAAGAGGAATCTATAGTGCTTGAGTAATGGGAAACAAAGGCCACCTGCAGCTTTCACAGAACTTTTTCCAGACTTGAGAATTCTAAGAGGTTAAGGGGGGAGGTGGGGGGAGTCTCCAAAATGAACCAAGTCCAACTACATAAGGATTCATTTCCCATCTCCTTAAATAAGCACTGCCACATGGTTCTTATCTGCTGTAAAAAAAAAAAAACTAGACAGCCCCTGCAAGGGAGGGGGAAGCCACTGAGAACATTGGTTCCAAGCAGTGCTGGAACCTCTCTCTAGCCGGCTGTGCGTCCTGAGCTGGTAATTTAACCTCTCTGAGCCTTAAGTTTCTTCATCTGAGATATGAAATCCACCTTGCGGGCTGTTGAGAAGATTAAATGAGAATCCTATGACCAAGCCCTCTGTCATCATTACTGGATGAAATAAATGAAGTTGCTGTCACCACATACAGTCAAAGCGACTTGTGAACTCAGAAATCCAGGGGGGGCACCCTGAGCAAGCGTGTATGGAGAAATAAAAGTGGCTTGTCATCTTTGCCTTCAAGAGGCTTCACCTTGGGCTGGGGCAGCAGCAGGCACAGGGCTGCAGGAGACAGAACATTCACAAACCAATGTCCAAGAAAAGCACACACCTCTCCATCGGGAGCTCGCCCCTGCGTGTCCCTGTGGGTTTGATTCTGATATCTAAGTATCCATCATTCTGGTGACCTCCTGGGCCACAAAAGGCCTCAATGCTGTCTGTAAACTAAGACCCTAAATCAAACTGGATGGGAAGGCACCATCAGGGCCCTCCTGCACCCTCTTCGGGTCCAGCCACTGCTGGCTTCACCCTGTCACCCACCACCTAGTGTGGCTGACCACTGTCCTCTGCAGCTCATCCTGCCCTTTCGGAGGATGCATCCCATGACACGTCACCAGGTTCACCTCCAGCCTGGCATTAGCCCAGAATGTTCCACCATGTCCCCAGGCCCGCTGAAGAAAGAAGAAAGGGCAGTTCAAACGCAGTGACTGGCAACAGCAGAGAAGAGGAAGCGGGGAACCAGAAAGGGAGGGGAATCAAAGGGAAAAGGAGGAACAAAAACAGCTCTCCTCTGACATCGGACTTTCCCCGCTTACGTAGGAAGGACTGGACCTCGCACGCTGGGTTGGGCGCCTCGCAGGACCATCTGCAGGGCTGTCAGGAAGGCGCATGCGCACTAGGAAACGCGCGCCAACCGGGCTGCCTGAAATCTCACGGCTGGAGCTGCATGAGGCCGTCTGGCCGCCTTCTCAACTCTCCAGAGCTCCTTCCAGTGACAGCAAGGCAGGCCTTCAACACAAGACAGATGAGGGATAAAAAGAGCATGCAAAGCCGGGTGCCTGGCGCTCGCCTGTAACCCCCAGAGGCTCGGGAGGCTGAGGCAGGAGGATCGGGAGTTCATAGCCAGCCTCAGCAACTTAGTGAGGCCCTAAGCAACTCAGGGAGACTCTGTCTCTAGATAAAATATATATTTTTTAAAGGGCTGGTGGTGTGGCTTGGTGGTTACACACTCCTGGGTTCAATCCCTGGTACAAAAATAAAAACCCAAAAAACTAAGAGCAGTGCACAGTGATACTCAAAGGAGCCAGAACACAGTCACAACCCCAGAATCCAATGGACAGATAACCCAGCGAGGCAGATCCGTGACAATGGGACATCACTCGACCCAACCGTAACAAGAATCAAAGTCCTGATGCCTACTTCTATGTGAGGAACCTTGGAGACATCATATTAAAAGGAAGCCAGATACAAAAGACCAAGATGGTGGGTGACTCCGTTTCTATGGGGAGGCCAGAATAGGCAGATCCACAGAGACAGGAAACAGATCAGTGGCTGCCAATGGCCGAGAAGCAGGCAGAGAGGAGAGTGGGGAGTGACTGCTTCACCGGCTTGGGGTTTATTTGGGGGATGAGGAGAATCTTCTGGAACTGAGTAGTGGTCACGGTGGCAGAACAGTGAGGATATAACAAATGTCCCTGAATTGTATGCTTTAAAAATGGTGCATGGTATGGTGTGAACGGTGTGTGACTTTCACCTCAATTTTTTTTTTAAAGAGAGAGTGAGAGAGGAAGAGAGAGAGAGAGAGAGAATTTTTAATATTTATTTTTTAGTTTTCAGCAGACACAACATCTTTGTTTGTATGTGGTGCTGAGGGTCAAACCCGGGCTGCACGCATACCAGGCGAGTGCGCTACCACTTGAGCCACATCCCCAGCCCTCACCTCAATTTTTAAAAAAAAATACGTGTAGATGGGGGGGGGTAGAGAAAATTGGTCCTGGAGGGGGCAGAGAAATTGTGGGGTGGTCACCAATGATTCCCAGGCAAGTCATGAGTTTCCTAAAACCAGGGACCCCGGGGGCGCTTTGAGGTATAAAAGGAGACCCTCTCTCCTCTCAGTGAGAAGGTAACAGCATGACAGCTTCACCCTCATCAGGGGCTATAAAGAAGAACCAGCATCCACAGCCTAAAAAGAAAAATGGGGCAATGGGTACAGAGGCAGCTGGAAGGAGGACCGGCCACCCTCACAGGAGCACTGAGAAAGGCTCAGCATCCACCCACCTGTCCTTGATATGGACTTCGCCACTCATTCCCCAAATACCACTAAGTGCCCAGCTCTAGGTCAGCACTGCCATAGGTGTGAGGGGACGCTGCAGCCATCTGATCCCTGGCCTCATTAAGTGAACCCTTTGGGGACCACAGCGTTCCCACATATTGCCTGGTACGATTTGGTTTTAATAGAATGCGTGGCGCAGTTCACCAAGTGCAAACAAAAACTAATAATGCCACTCTTCCTCTCTGGTTTTTAACACATGTTGATCACATTCAGTGCCTGGAGGGGGATGAGGGAGGTACACGGGACACAGTCAATGGTAAGTCAGTTCTGAGCAGAGACCTGATGTGCAAAACCAGCTGTTTCAATTAAAAAGTCTGCAGGTAAGCCCAGAGTGAGGAATGGTGCAGGCCCTTGTTGCAGACAGAATTCACCCAAAAGGTGTGTTCCCAGTGCCTTTAAGGGACTTCACCTGGGCTGCATGCTGGGGACCCTGTGATGGATATGTGGACATGGCTCTGCCTTCAGGGAGCTTGTGGTCCAAACAGGGAGAAAAATGACAAGGTGAAGACCCGGAATATTAAAAAAAAAAAAAATTAAATTAAATTAAAAAAAAAAAAGACCCAGAATATGAGGCCTGTGAGCTAGGAATGGGTGTTAGGAAAAAAAAATTAGGGGTCAACAGAGTAGCCTTGTTTTGTTGCACTTTTTCCAAGTTTTCATCCCAAGCAGAACCACGTACATTAAGTCACCATCCCAAATCCCGATGAAGGGCGGAAATTAGCTAAGGCAGCATCCACCAACTGGGCGGCTCTCATAAGAGAAATGCATTTCTCACAGTTCAGGAAGTCATAAGTCCAAGAACAAGGTGTACTGAGGGCTGATTTCTACTGACACCTCTGATTGGCTTACAGGGGGCTCTCTTCTTCCTGTATCTGTCTTCTTTCTCAGAGTCCTAACTTCTCCTTTTAAGGATGCCAGTCACCCTGGATCAAGAGCTACCCCAATGCTGGGTGCGCGGTGGCACATACCTGTAATCCCAGCAGCTCGGGAGGCTGAGGCAGGAGGATCGCGAGTTCAAAGCCAGCCTCAGCAATGGCAAGGCTCTAAGCAACTCAGTGAGACCCTGTGTATAAATAAAATACAAAATAGGGCTGGGGATATGGTTCAGTGGTTGAAGGTCCCTGAGTTCAATCTTTGGTACCAAAAAAAAAAGAGCCATCCTAATACCTGCATTTTAACTCACCTCTCTAAGGGGCCACATCTTCAAAGCACAGTCATGTGTCGGGGTCCTGGGGATTAAGACTTCCACATAAAAATTGGAGTGGACACAGCTCAGTCCCTCACAGGCCCTGAGTGCTCCCAAGGGCTTGGATGCCTCTCACGCCCCTCACTGTGCTGGCTCTGATCACCCACGCCACTCCCCATGGACCACGTGCCTTTTCCCTGAGTCTGGTTGACTCTGACTCATTCTCAGTTGAACCCACCTGGAGCCTTGGAGGGGCTCAACGTAAGGTTGCAGGCAAGGGAGGTGGGAGCTCATTTGAACCAAGCACTTCGACAGCTTTCCCGATCGCCTAGGCAGAGGACAGGGAGGTCTCAGGAAGAGGCCTCAAAAGCAACCAGAGGGATGGGAGGTTAAGCCAAGGTCACCTAAAAGCAGGGTCAGTGGGGGCCATGAGCCCCAGACTCCCTCCACCCCCTGCACAGCCTCTCTTAATGGCACTTGTGCTCACTGTCATCTGGCCCATGAACTTCAAATCAAGTTCACGTCCCCTGCCACCTTAAAGCTCCTTCAGGTCATCCTGAGGGGCAGATCTTCAATCCATTTTGCAAAATCAATGGACCAATGACTATATGTGTGGAGGGGCCAGAGCGTCCTTTAGTTGAACCCAGAGTCCCGGGTACAGTCCCTGCAGCCCCCCACTGAGGAGCAGAGGTGAGGAGTGAGGACTTCCCCCGACATCTCCTGCTCAACTGTCACCCGCACTCCTGGGTCTCCTGGCCTGTGATCAAAGGTCCTCCTCCTCCAGGACCCAGTGGCCTTTCCTTGATGTCCAGTACTCTGAGCTGACCCAGATACTCCCCTTCCAATCTCAGCCTTCCACGACCCTGAGCTTCCACTCACCCCAAGGCCATTCACACCTTTGCAGAGCAAGCCTGATTCAGCCATGAGCCAAAATCAGACGAGGTGTGCCCCATTCTTAAAGGCAAGCTCCCCTCTATCCTTCTTCATTCGCCCGGCCAGTCCATCCACCCAGCCGGCCACCAAATACTTCTTGATCCAGGTGTCCTGGATGCCAGGCACCATAACCCACCTGAGCAGTTACAAAGGTTTACGAAGCACTTTCCTGGCCCAAGGAGCTCGGAGTGTAGTGAGTGGGTCCAATGGTCAAGTAAATGTCACTGCAGTCCAGTGTGGTAGCTGTATTCACCGTGGGAGGCCCTAGGGAAGCTAGAAGAAATGACCTCCTGTGGAGGCATGGAAGGCCACAGGGTGAGTTGTACCTAGCTGAGTCTTGATGAAGATTCAGGCTCCCAGCACATTAGTTCATTTTCGGTTACTATAATGAAATATCTGAGACTAGGTAATTTTATAAAGAAAAGATTGATGATTTAGCTCATAGTTCTGGACATTCAAGGGCATAGTTCCAGCCACAGCTTAGCTCTAGGGGCAGAGACTAATGTGAGAGGGAGATAGAAAGCCAGAGAAAGAAGAGAGGCCATTCTTAATTTTTTTATAATAACCCTCACATGAGAATTAACTCAGGGGTCTCATACAAACTACATCAATCCCTTCAAAGAGCAGCACCCCCAATGACCTAAAGACCCCTCACTAAGCTCCACTTTGTAAAAATCCCCCCATTTCAACACCGCCACACTGGGGACCGCATTTCTAGCACATGAACCCTTGGGGGACACATTTAAAACATATCCAAACAATAGTGCCTAGGCAGGGGTGCCAAGGCAGAGTGCTTAGCCAGTCCCCAAATCTGGGGACCCAGGCAGAAGTAGTAGCTATCAGAAAGACACAAAAGTGTCAAGGTCAAGGTGCCTCTCTCCCCAGCCAAGGGAAGGGAAGTCAGGTGTAGCGGGAGGCAGGTCATGTGCTGTTGGTACAGGGTTTCTTTGTCCAGACAAGGAAGACCTAGACACTTGGGGACATGGGGAGCCAATAGGGAATTCAGAGGTGGAATGAGGTTTGGGGAGGACACTGTTGATGGTCAAGTACATCCTGGAGGCTCTGGCCCAGTGGACATGCAAGTGATGTTTACTAAGGAGCAAGTTAATGCAGAACTTGTCCACTCCCGAGTGACGTAACTAGAGTAGTGAAACAGAGTCAGAAAAAAAGAATGGTGCAGAGAAATAAAATCTTCTACTTCAGGAGGCTCCTACTTAGAAAAAACTTTTGGATATAACCATTGTTGTGGTAGTTTACTTAACACTACTATGTACACAGTGAACAAACTTAGGTCCTATTTGAAACATCTAGTCTTTCTAGATGTTTAGAAGTACACAAAGAATGTTAAAAGTAAAAGTAGTAAATAGAACATTTTGTAGATTAAAAAAAGAAAGGAAGGAAGGAAGGAAACAGAATGGAGGTTGCCAGGGGATGGAAAGGAGTTATCATTTAATGGGTATGAAGTTTCACTTTGGGAAAATGAAAAAGTTCTGGACATGGATATTGGTTATAGTTGTATAATTATATACATTTAATGCCACTATATGCCTAAAAGGCGGAAAGATCACAAGCTCAAGACCAGCCAAAGCAACTTAAAGAGGCCCATAAGCAACTTAGCAAGATCCTGTCTCAAAATAAAAAATAAAAAGGTAAAGTACCCCTGAGTTCAATTCCACTACAGAAAAAAAAAAAGGCTAAAATAGTAAATTTATATCTTGTATATTTTACAGTAATATATGGAGTGTCCGAGTATACTTAAGGGAACTCTTCTTGCATGTATGGCATTTTCCCACTGTTACTTTATTCTGCATGATCAACATTCCCAAAAGCCTACACACAAACTTAGAAAATAATATGGCAGATTTGATTCTAAAGAGCTTCCTTCTTGAGGAGATAAATATATTTCTTTCTTTCTTTCTTTCTTTTTTTTTTTTTTTTTTTTGGTGTGTGTGTGTGTGGGGGGGTGCTGGGGATTAAACCCAGGGCCTTGTACATACAAGGCACTCTACCAAATGAGCTATATCCCCAGCCCTTGAGGATTTATATTTTAACACCACTACTCATTCTCTGATAGTATTAATGCCTAAATAGAATTTTGGGATTTTAGTAGGGCATGGTGAAATGTACTTGGAAATTGCCAGACACTTGGAAGGCTGAGGCAGGAGGATCAGGAATTCAAGGCAAGCCCGGGCAATTTAGTCAGACTCTGTCTCAAAATACAATTAAAAAGGGCTGTAAATGTAGTTCAGTGGTAGAGTGCTAAGGAAGCCCTAGGTTCCATCCCCAGTACTCGTCCCCCCTCCAAAATAGTCAAATTATATAACAAGATTTCCCATGAATACCTATCAGGGCATAAACCTGACCAGGAGTAAGCAGCCAATAGAGCAAATGATCCTATGACCAAAACCCTATGGTTCCACACTTTGGTTCATTCAGGAGTATCTTTTTAAAAGCAAACAGAAACATTGATGGGAAGGTGAATCCCTCTGCAGCCCTTAGTCACCAAGTACTCCAAGAAAGATAAATGTGCCCAAAGTTTAAGAAAGGAATAGTTGGAACTAGAAAGAACCACGTCTCTGGATTAGAGAAACAGGGTATCAGTACTGTAAATGGTCAAACAAAATATTATAAGAGTGTTTAGCCATGGCTAACATACTTATGAAGCAGATTCTACACAAATTCCATTCACCTAATTGTAGTCAGGACCAAGTGAAACCTATCACCAGAAGGAACCTGACAATTTGACATCCACAGAGAAGAAAAGGATCAACTAAGCCAAATCATTCCTAGACTCATGTTTTGAAATAGTAACTGACTATCTAATTTGTTTTATTTCCCAGGACTTTAAAAAAAAAGTTAAGAAATCTTTCAATTTAATTTTATTTAACTAAAAGTAAATGGAAAACAAGAGATAAAACAAATGACTGCAAATACCAGGAACAGTGTCAACGACAATGCCAACCATATGGGAAGGAAAGAAACAGATAAGAAGTAAAAATCACACGAGTGAAAAATAGATATGGATTTTCTACCTACTGTATCAAAGGAATTCATACTCACTTTGTGACTTACATAATGTTACTGACGGTAAAAAAGCAAAATAAAGCCAGCCATGGTACTGCGTGCCTCCCAGAAACTCAGGAGGCTGAGGCATGAAGATCACAAATTCAAGGACAGCCTCAGCAACTTAGTGAATCTTCATCTCAAAAGAAAAAAATAAAGGCTGGGCACAGTGGCACATGCCTGTAATCCCAGCAGCTCGGGAGGCTGAGACAGGAGGATTGCAATTCAAAGCCAGCCTCAGCAATGGTGAGACGCTAAACAACTCACTCAGTGAGACCCTGTCTCTAAATAAAATACAAAATAGGGCTGTGGATGTGACTCAGTGGTTGAGTGCCCGAGTTCAATCACCAATATCACACACACACAAAAAAAAAAAAGATAAAAAGGGCTGGGACAGCAAGGAGCGGTGATGCATTCCTGTAATCCCAGCAGCTCAGGAGGCTGAGGCAGGAGGAGGATGAGTTCTAAAGCGCCCCTGGGTTAAATTCCTGAAATCCTAGCAACTGCCCCCCCCCCCAAAAAAAAATTACTGCACCAAAATCCCTAAGGCAAGAACTCAGAGACATAAGCCTACAACTCAAAACAAAAAGACACCCAAAACACTATTATGTCAATTTGAGGGGTTTTGCTGATTTAATTCTAAAGGAAAAGCTTTGAAACTGAGTTGAATTTAGGATGTGTAGGGGTGTAGGAAGAGAAATAAGCCAAAACCTAAAACCTGCCTCAAAAGAATGTGAAGAAGCCAGCCTATACTTTATTTAATAGTTTAATTAATTAATTACTTTTGGTAGTGGTGTGGTGGTGCAGGCCTGTAATCCCAGCAGCTGGGGAGGCTGAGGCAGGAGAATCTTGAGTTCAAAGTCAGCCTCAGCAACAGAGAGGTACTAAGCAGCTCAGTGAGACCCTATCTCTAAATTTAAAAATACAAAAAAGGGCTGGGGATGTGGCTCAGTGGTTGAGTGCCCCTGAGTTCAATCCCTGGTACAAAAGGAAAAAAAAAAAAAAAGAAAAGAAAATGAGAGCTAAAGCTATAGTTCAGAGATAGTCATATGTCTTATACATGCCAGGCAAGTGCTCTATGTATTATTGTGGTTAAAATTATAAAAACAATAAAAGTTTGAGTCTTCCATCTCTACCTAGAATGATTCTAAGTGCTTTATGTTCATTTAAGAAAAAAATCAAGTTCCATGATGTTCCCAGAAATATAAAATTTATGTCCACTTTACAGATTTGGAAAGTGAGACCAATGAAGCCTAGGAAGAACAACAGGAATGTCCATACCCTAACTCCTCCAGGTTTCCACTGCATGCTCCATGTCAACCCACCCCACACCTACCAAGGGATTAGTAGTTTGTAGAAGACGGTTCATATTTCAGGCCTTCATTTTGTTTGATTCATGTCTATCCTGATAAAATAACTTACTGCCCCTACACTTCACTCCTCATCTCAAGTCACAGTGGCTGTATCCTTGTCCCAGCCCTGCCACTATGAAACAAAACCTGTGACTCTCTCAGTTATGTCCCTTCTCCAGGTCTCCCCTCCTGATACTCTATGGCTCTAATTCTCTGTCTCATGAAAGAAGTTCTTCTTAAAACTGAAGTTCTCTCTAGGTCCCCCCAAACTCCTTTCCTCAGAACTCCTTGAATTAGAAATCTGATCAGATTTTGGTATCTTTCATTGACTGAAAAATAATGTAGTTTTACAGATTAGGTTTTATTTTAGTATTGACTCAAACAAAGAGAATCATTTATCTTGCCTGTTAAGTGTAAGCTGCTTTCCTAGGTGTTATGAGAAATATAAAACAGAATGCTCAAGGAATCTTAAAACTTTGAGATAAGAAATGCCAGAAATGTACAAAAGATGATAACCTGGATGCAACTGGTTGCAGAGTAATGGACAATTGAGTGGAAAGAGGGCAGGGTTGATGTGCAGTGTCTGTGATCAAGGTTGGATGTGGAGAAAGTGTAGTCTGTTTCATGCATGCTTAATGAACACCCCACATATAAATGGGTGGAGGCATGATTGTCATCTTTCTGACTGAACTCTGAGCTCTTTGGGGGTAAGATTCATGGTTTCTCCACATCTATGTTTTTCAGAACTCTTAACAGTTATTTGTACTTAGTAGACACTCATTTGCTGGAAAGATACCTACATGAATTGCTTTAGACTGTTTTTAGCAATAGAATTCTTTGCCATTTGGATTGTTCATTGATTTGAAACCTTTCCAGTTACTCTATCCTTTCCCACCCGTTTTTCTTCTTTCTAAATGTGACATCAATTTATGTTCCTAGCTGAGCTTTCTACAGAGTTTCCTTTGAATAATTTCAATGAATGTGTTCTATGGGTATAAGGATGCAGGACTCTCTGCTGTCTCTATTTGCCAAAGGCTTTTTGAAAAAAAAAAAAAAAAAAAGGTTCGCAGACTGCATGACCCCATTCTTAATACCCACGTTCTCAGGCCCTCAATAAACCTGAATATAATTATTTTCCTTCTGAGAAACATTACACACACATGAAGTCCCAGGAGATGCTCTCATTCTACTTAAGTGAAATGTTTGACATTTTGAGTATTTCTGCTATGTCTCATTCACCCTTCGTGATGGTTTTTCTCATCCCAAAGTTTTCAAGGTTTCTTTGTTATCAAATTAAAGTTACAGAGATTTTAAGACCCTCTGGAAGCAGCCCATTCTTGAATTTGTGTCTTAGTGATGTCTAATTTATTATTAAGTATTTTTGTAGATAATACTTAGCTTTGGATTCTTAGCCGATTCATCTTCCTAACAAATCTCAGATTTTCAATCCAAAGATAGGCATCTTCTTATCCATTTCATACTCCACATGTCTCTGATTTTCTTTATCTTACCAGTATTCTGCATTTGGGAGGGTGGTATTCTCTCTCTTTCCAGATATCTCAATCCCTCCCACCCCACCCTACAGCATCCAAATTCAGTCTTAGCATGTGGTGACATGTCATTCTTCTAAGGAAAAGGAATTCTGCAGAGCAGTCACTGAGGGTTTAAAGAAAAGAGTACCCCAAGTCTGGGACTATCTCTAACAAGCTGAGTTGACATATTTCATGAAACACAAGGCTAAGGCTTTCTCCTCTGTAAAACAAGAGAGGAAAACAAAAGCAAGTCTAGATTACTTTCTAATGCTGAAATTACCACAGTCAGTTAACATTTACTATTTCCTTACATACTGCAGGCATCAGGCTGAAGATTGGATGGGATCATGGGATTACACCAACTCTATTGAAAGTAGGCACCATTGTTATCTGCATTATATCGTGGGTGCTCACAGAGGTAACTAATGTGGGTCTGAGAATGGAACTCAGACAGCATGTCCCTTGAGTTACATATTATACATCACATTCTCTTATCAATTCATCTCCTACATTTTTATACAGGTTGGGCATGTGACTTCTGTAAGTAACAAAATTATACAAAGACATTAAAGTAACACCCATTGCTGTGGTTTGGGTGTGATCTGTTCCCTAAAGCTTCCTGTGTTAGAATCAGGGTCTCCAACAGAGTTAGACTGAGGTGTGGTGGGACATTAAAGAGGTGGGGCTCAGTGGGAGGTGATTAGCTCATGGAGGGCACCATCCTCTTGAATGAATAAATAGTTTTTTTTTTTTTTTCCCCCCAAGAGAATAGGTTAATTCTCTGGAAACTGGATTAGATCTTTCAGGTCTCACAGGATTGGATAAGTTTCCACCAGAGTGGGTTGTTATAAAGTGAGCCTGGAACCTCTCTGTTGATTCCCTGCACACATGCTCCTTTCACACGTGATTGCTTCCTACCCTTCACTTCTCTGCCATGGTATGTTATAGCACCAGGCCCTCACCAGAGGCTGACTCCTTGTC